CCAGATATCACTCCGCCTTCTCCCAGATCTCGCTCGCCACTCTCCCAGATCTCGCCTCTCTCACAGATCTCGCTCTCTCTCACTCGCCTCTCTCACTTTATACAAAAACGCAAATGTATAAAATGCGTGAAAATTGTATATATACATATATTTTTGTTCCCCTCTCCCAGATCTCGCTCTTTCACTCGCCTCTCTCACTTTATACAAAAACGCAAATGTATAAAATGCGTGAAAATTGTATATATACATATATTTTTGTTCCCCTCTCCCAGATCTCGCCTCTCTCACAGATCTCGCTCTTCTCTCACTCGCCTTCTCTCACTTTATACAAAAACGCAAATGTATAAAATGCGTGAAAATTGTATATATACATATATTTTTGTTCCCCTCTCCCAGATCTCGCCTCTCTCACAGATCTCGCTCTTTCACTCGCCTCTCTCACTTTATACAATTGATCTTTTTGTCTATGTATACCAAAACAGATTATACAACTGCTTTCTTTTGTATATGTATAGCGAAATATACATATTTATGTTTGCTATGAAGCACAATTATGCAAACTTTGCTATAGCATACAATTATGAATTTTGTGTTTGCTATATGTGAAAGTTGCTCTTTAATTTTTGGGGAGTAAAAGGATTATAATAAGAGCTTTATAAACTGGAAACATAATCTTACAACTTGATGTTTTGATTGATGACGCACAAATAAGTTGTGCCTTTAAAGAATCAATCAAATTAAGTTGTCATCACCAGGAATGTTTGTTTGATTTTTATTTTAACTTTGACACAAGGTTGGACGTTCGATTCTTCGATTCGATTTTATCAAACTTTGGTTTGATTCTTTGATTATAGAAAAGTGTGCATCGTTTACCAAACCAAAAGACTATATTTATCTTTGCCAAGAACTTTGCGCCTCCAAATACTTTTCCAGAAAAAAACAAGGACAAAGACAGATTCCTTTACATGACATACATCGATAAAATATGTTTGGATTCCTCTTGAAAATTAATATTTGAAGTTAACTATTGAATTATAAATTTGTTGTTACTTTAATTTGTCATGAATGATTTAATTGTTAAATGACTTTTAAATTTTAATTAAGGAAATGCCCATAAATAAATACATACATATATATTTATTTTTTTAATTTAATAAAAGTTTGATTCATCAAAGTTCTGAGACTCTTACACTGAACACCGAATCAAAGAACCGAATTTGTTCGGTTCAATTTGATTTTTCGATATTTATATCCACCCCTACATGTAGTAATTTATAGCATAATGTAATATTCTAATGGGTACAATTATTTTCCGAGAAAAGAAGTCGTGAAACTATCAAGAATCATGATAAAAGTCAAGTCTTACAAAATTGCTTTAAAACATCTAAAATAAGTAAATCCAAACACGAACTTAGGAAGAGTACACTACTCTAATCCAAAATGAAAGTAAATGGGATTAAGAGTGTTGTTGTAATGTCTTCTTAACATTCTTTTTCTTTATGAATTTATTCTTCCCAGTGGAGTAGACTTTTCGTAAGGAGTTTTGGCAATGAAACTAAATGTAATTATTAACTATATTTTGAGATCATATACATATATCGCAAGTTTCCCTTATTTCTCATATTGATAGAAAAATTCAAAAATCGTGTCTATTGTACTTAATCTTACGTTCCTATTTAAACTCGTGGTTTTAACCATACCAACAAATTCAAGTTTGATTTTCTGGATATCATAACAATGAACAAGATCATAATTATATATTACTAAAACCAATCCCTATGGATCGAGATGATCTTAAACTATAATATCTTTGACTAGCGAATCATATAATTTATAGTGTGTTTTGCACTCACTAATCCTGCAAACGGATAGCCCCAGTACCATAGCATCTACCTCCACCATGAATGGCATCCTTCAAGGTCTCAAAGGCAATGATAGTTGCGGCATCTGACCACTCAAAAATACCCTTTTTGAGTAGGGAAGTGAGAAGCTTGCTGATCATTCCATAGCCAAGCGTTAATACTGATTGGCATGATCCAATCAATCATTTGTCCAGCATAACCAACTCTTTGATGTCTGAAAATACACATTTTTTTGTTATGACCTTGAAGTACGACAGTAAATTTTTACTTTCAAAACTAATAAAAGCTCTGCTAAAATGATAGTTTATCCTCCCATTTCCATTTTTCAAAATTTTCTTCTGGCTCTTCCCGGCCACATGAAACACACGAAGATGGATGCATGAGTGACGATAACTTCATTTCTTATGTTTCTTTTATAGAATTTAATACACACTGCCAGGTGTTTTTCATATTTTTAGGTGAGGATGATTATTTTGGCATGTTTCTGCTGAGTTAATGCCAGTTTATTATACACCTATTGTTACTTTGGAAGAAATTTCTCAAATTGATGAGGGTAAGGTCTGTGCACATGACTACATTCTACCCTCCCTAGACCTAACTTGTGGGATTTCACTGGATATGTTGTTGTTGTTGCTGCTGAGAAGGTTATGTGTGTACTTTCGAAGGATAATGAATCACAAAGCCAAAAATTAGAGGGAAATTCGACCAAGGAAGACGGTCAAATGGCAGAACTTAATATAACCATGAAAACAACCATCTATACAAGATGAGATAAATTACAAGGACTTAAAACAGGAAAACAAAAACACCAAGCAAGAAGAGAGTTATTTATAAACATTGCATAGGAATGTAAGAGAGAAAGTCATTAGCAGTTCCATGCCATATTTGATGGGGAAATACTTAGTTTAGTGATCCGTGTGGATGATGCAACAAAGGCCTTCGATCAAAAGCCTTGTTCATATCAGAAAATGGGAGTTGATGAGTTTATGAACTTCTCCAATTCACAAGGTGGAAGACCCAATATCTATCACTAGGAAGACTCACCCTCATCAATTCAGTTTTAGATTCTCTTCCCACTTATGTAATGTCTCTTTTTCCTATACCTCGGAGTGTTGTGAAGAAGCTGGACAAATTCAGAAGGAATTTCCTTGGCATGGTTGCAAGGAGAATAAAGGATACAATCTGATTAAATGGGAAGTAGCAATGAAAAATAGGCACTTGGGAGGCTTGGGCATCAAAAAGGAGACAGAATAATAGTCTCTTGATGAAATGGTTGTGGAGATACTGTGAAGAAGATCAGGCTGTATGGAAGGAGATCATCACGAGTAAATATGGTGAGAGCAACCTATGGTGCAGCAACAATAGCTCTATGCCCTATGGGTGTGGGGCATGGAGAACAATCAGGGATCTTTGGCCAAAGCTAGAAGAAAACATGATCATAATAAGTGGGAGATAAGAAAAAAACAAAGTTCTGGGGAGATGCTTGGAACAACCAGACACCTCTGAAGAACACTTTTCCCGACCTGTTTAGCATATGCAACAACCCTGAGGCAACTGTCAAAGAATGTTGGACTGATCAAGGATGGGATCTATCTTTTAGAAGACTGGTTGCCAATTTGCTTCTTAGACTTAAGAATTTCACAGGCACTACCCCAAATCCAGATTATATGAAATGGAAACACAATAAAGATGGGATTTTCTCTGTGAAGAGTGCCTATGAAACAGGTAATGCACAGCTAAACGAAGACAACAATTTTTGTGGAACAATGTTTGGAAAAACATAGCACCAACTATATTTAAATGTTTTACTTGGTAGGTAGCAAGAAAGGTATGTCTGACACATGAGGTTTTGAGGAAAAAGGGGAAGATTATAGATTCCAGATGTCAACTCTGTGGTGAAACAAATGAAACAAACAGTCACCTTTTTCTACATTGCAAATTCACTACACAATTATGGGCTCTTTTCTTACACTCACGGAAACGAAATGGACCATGCCTGAGCACACTGCAGACCTACTAAGCTGTTGGATCAGAAGAGGAGGAAGCAAGAGCCAGAAGAGATGGTGGAAAATCATCCCACATTGCATTTGGTGGTCTGTATGGAATGAGAGAAATAGTAGAAGCTTTGAAGATAGGTCCAATTTCATTCACACAGTTAAATGGAATTGTATTGTATCTTACTAGTTTTGGTGTAAAAAGATGGACATAGATGAATTAGAACTAGTAGATCTGTTAGGGTCATTGTAAGTAGTTTCCCTCCTCTTTCTCCCTATTTCTCTTTTGAAGGTTGTCAGCATATCCTTAATGCTGAAGAATACAAGAGAAATGTGACAAACTTGCAAATCATTTACCAATACATTTAACAAATACCAATAAGAATCTATTTTTCCAGAGTCAAGCCAATACATTTACCACATGCCAATAAGAATCTATTTTTCCAAGCTGTTTTCCACTCAAGAAACAAGAGAAATGTGACAAACTTGTAAATCATTAGGACACGATCGTTGCCTAATCTCATACAAATAAGCACATGACTAATGTAGCCTCAACTCTTAACAAACTTCATCTGTTAAGAGTCCCACATCTCTGTGGATGGGATTATTTCCTTTCTATGTGGTCTTGGAAAATCCTCACCTCACCATTAATTTTTGAGGTTGAATTAGGCCTAAGGTCCATTTCCTCACATGATATCCAAGCCAAACCCATCCAACTCTTGGTTTATCAATTCAATGTTAGGGTTCCTAGTTATATTGTCCATGCTCCAAATATTCCGTCTTTGGTGTGGGATGTTAGAGCCCCACATCGGTGTGAGACGGGATTATAGGGAATGTTTGTCTCCTAATATGATTTTAGGGAAATCCTCACTTCATTAGCTAGTTGTTGGGATTTGGTTAGGGTCGAGGTCCATTTCTTCACATTATCGGAGTGTGGTATTGGCCCAGGCAGGTCTGGGGTTTGCTCTGTTCATGCTACCATCCATTACACGGGCCTAGGACTAAATCTGTTGTTAAAGCATTTTCTTCAATTGTTTTGAACATTCTCATAACATAACTGCACAGCTTAAACATCTCTGACCTGCATAACTCTCTCCTGTGCCATATAGTTCCCTTGATTTGAACGCTGGGAATTTCTTCACCCATTCCATCATGAATATATGCATATCCATTGCTGCCAGAGAAAACAAAAAAGGAAAAACATCAGCTATTAGGTAGGACTAAATTCTTAAATCTGATATTCAAATACAGTTAATGCTTGATCACAGCATCTGTGTTTCCTTGTTTTACCAGTTTTGCATCACCAGTGGTGTAGTCTGAACTTGTATCAGAGTATGACCAGCCTACTCCAGCTGGAGATTCAACAAAGAGGAGATTTAATGCTACAGTACACAAAAGACATGAGGTGGTAAGTTCATTCTCTTTACTCATATTGTTCTAAACATGTTACAATCAGCTCTTCCCTACCCTACTTAGCATACCTTTATTCCATGATTTTGAATTTCTTCGAAGACCTCGACCGTTACCTGTGGGAAAGAATGGTTCCAACTATGTAAAATCACCTCCACCAATTGATGAGCAACCTGGTCCTGAAACACAAACATGTGACATTTTAGTGTTCTTGATTCCGCTTTGCCAGTATTCACCAAATTCATAGCATTTTAATTTAAGAAATCTTATCCAGGGAAAAATACAATTCTGCAACTTATTTATCACTAGTTTAATCAGGCTTACTGTTCTTGACATTTTATTGTTCTTGACTCTGCTAATATTCTTTTCTCCATTATTTTCTATATGCTTCACAATAGCCGAGGGCCTATCGTAAACAATCTCTCCACCTTCACAAGGTAGGGGTAAGGCTGCATACACATCACCCTACCCAGAGCCCATTTGTGTGGGATTACTCTGGTATGGTATTGTTTAGTTTAATCAGGCTTACTCATTAAAGATGTAAGCTTTCACTCTTATTTTAGAAGTTCTAGGTTGGTTCCATCCAACTACTGTTTTAAGCTCCATCTCACTATTAAATTTGATCTCTTGTGAGCATGTGACACTTGGTCCAAGCAAGCTGTTTCCTTTTCTCCAAACATCAAAAGAATACAGAAAGCCTAAAAAAACATGACACACAACAAACAAAAAACAAAAGTTCGAACCCCAAGCAAATAGTACTACCAAAAATCTACATGAAAGTACAGATAAATTCCTAGTCACATTTGTTTAAAATGGATCAACAAAAGTTTTTAAAAAAGGGAAAAATGCACCTCCATTGAGCCAAAGAGTTAGAGTTTTATCATCAGGTTTCACCTCAGCTTCAACAAAGTAGTAAAACAAACTCCTCCCAGCTTTCACATTTACATCCACATACCCTGCATATTGCCTAAAACCAACCTTAGGTTGTCCAGGCAATGCCTTCACTAAATCCTCCTCTGTATACCCTTTTCCTCCAACTACCAAACCCAAAATGACCAATCCACAAAACCACCACACGCCCATCTCACTAAACCTCAAAAAAATTCGAACTTTAGCCTCTTTTTCTCTAAAACACTTCAAATTAGGCTCATTCAAATGCTCTCCTATTAAAAAAACAAATCTTTATAACAGAAATTCTGTCACACCAATTTCTTATTTTAAGAAAGCAGCAGATATTACATAAGCCAATTCACAACAAAACATAAAGCAAAGGACTGAGTTGATCCAGTAAATTAACCAAACGCCAATAAGAATCTATTTTTCCAAGCTGTTTTCCACACAAGAAATGTGACAAACTTGCAAGTCATTAAGGACATGATCATTGCATAATCTCATACAAACAAGCACATGACTACTGTGGCCTCAACTCTTAACAAACTTCATCAGTTAAGAGTCCCACATCTCTGTGGATGGGATGATTCCCTTTCTATGCAGTCCTGGAAAATACTCACCTTACCAGAATATTTTGAAGTCGAATTAGGCCTAAGGTCCATTTCTTCACATGATACGCCAAACCCATTCAAATCTTGGTTTATCGGTCAATGTTAGGGTTCCATGTTATATAGTCCATGCTCCAAATATTCCGTCTTGGGCGTGGGATGTTAAGAGTCCCATATCAGTGAGAGACGGGATTATTTGTCTCCTTGTATGATTTTACGCAAGCCTCACTTTATTAGCTAGTTGTTGGGGTTGAGTTAGGGTCGAGGTTCATTTCTTCACATTATCGGACTGCGGTATTGTCCCAGGCAGGTCTGGGGTTTGCTTAGTTCACGCTACCATCCATTACAGATCCTATATCAGCAAAATAGCCTTCATCTTTCATTAATGCAGTCAAATCTTTCAAAAGTGCATGAATTTCACCCGCACAAGGATGAAATTTATCCCCTGCAACAAACATATTTGTTTTCTGCCCCACTATAATCCAACTGCAGCCAGGAGGCTTCCTCACTCCTCTCTCTTTCATTTCTTTCCTTAAGAAGTTAACTCCACCCCAATTGCCTGATGCAGCATATATATTAGATAGCAGTATGTATGAAGAGGAATTTTGGGGTTCCAACTCAATAAGCTTTTCAGCAGCCTTCTGTCCCCTTATATCATCCCCGTGTAATTTGCAAGCACCAAGGTAAGCAGACCATATCATAGCATCTAGTTCAAAATCTAATCTTTCAATAAATTCCTCTGCCTCTTTGAGATTTCCCCAACGACCAAGCAGATCAACCATACAGGCACAGTGATCGGCACGTGGCCGAACATCATAGAGGCTAGTCATATCCTTGAAGATTTGACGACCTTCAGATACCATTCCTGCATGGCTACAAGCAGTCAGAACCCCAAGGAATGTGATATCATCAGGCTTCACAGATTCCCTCTTCATTTCTTCAAAGACTTTCAGTGCATCTTCCGCAAAACCATTTTTTGCAAAGCCAACTATCATAGAGTTCCATGAGATAATGTCTTTCTTGCTGACCATTTCACTAAACACTTGCACTGAACATTTAACATCCCCACATTTAGCATACATATCTATTAGGGAGCTACTGGTCAATTCATCCATGTCAAAACCAGTATGGAAAATGAGAGAGTGAATTTTCCTGCCATCCTGCATAGAAGCCAAGGTCGAACACGCTTTTAAGGCACTGGCAAAAGTTGCCTGATCTGGCATGACATTAAACTTGCGCATTTTCTGATAACCAATCAAAGCTTCCTCACCGCAGTCATTTTGAATATTGCCGGATATCATAGCAGTCCACAGAACTGGGCTATTTAGCTTGGTAAACTCTGAGAAGAGAAAGCTCGCGTCTTCTAATTTTCTGGAGTTATAATACATGCCTATCAAAGAGATTGCCAAGAATTCATCATCGTATGAAAATCCAAGCTTTAAAATGAAAGAGTGCAATTGCCTCCCAAGCATGTAAGCCTGGTCACTACATGCATCTAGAATGCTAGCAAATGTCACTTCCGAAGGCCTTAGTCCTTCAACAAGCATATTCTGGAATAAACGCACCGCATAATTAATGTTTGTCTGAGCATAGCCAGAAATTAAAGCATTAGTAGACACCACACTTCGATCAGGAAGGCAAAAGAAAACCTCACTGGCAGAAGTAATGTTACCACACTTGCAATACATGTCAACAAGGGAGCTTCCAGCAAAAAGGCCACTTTCTAGACCATATTTAACCAGCAAGGAATGAACTTGTTTCCCTTTATTAAGATCGTGAATATTGGCACAGGCACTGAGTACGCTAGCCAAACATGCCTCATCAGGAATAATCCTTTCCAATGTCATTTTGTGGAACATGATAAAAGCTTCTTCTTCTTCTTCGTCCTGTACATAGCCAACTATTATTGCATTCCAGGAAATATGGTCTCTCATTAGCATTTTGTCAAACTGACGCCTGGCATCACCTAGAGCCCCACATTTGGCATACATGTCTATTAATGCATTTCCAACAAATAAATTAGATGCAAATTTATTCTTAATGATAATTGAGTGCAGTTGCCGCCCCATTTCCACATCTTCCAAACAAGCACATGCACTCAGTATGCTAGTGTAAGTATACTCATCAGTTTCAAAACTAGATAGTCTCATACTCCTGAATAACTTCACAACTTTACAAGCACTGCCATTCTGTGCATAACCTGCAAGCAATGCATTCCACAACACCTCATTTTTCTCTCCCAAGCTATTAAATATTTCGCTTGCAGCTTCCATCTTTTGACATTTGGCATACATATTAATCAAAGAACTCCCAACATAGACGTTGGATTCTAATCCCTGTTTAACTGCCAAAGCATGGACCTGCAAGCCAAAGGATAAATTTGCAACGCTTGCAACTGCACTCAAAACACTTCCCAAGGTAGAACGTGTGGGTCGAATGCTAGCTTTAATCATGTCTTGAAAAAACTGTATAGCTTCCACCTCTTTCCCTCCCTTGGCATGACCAGAAATCATCACATTCCATGCCACAACATTTGGACTAGTAATCTGAGTAAACAATTGACGAGCAGCATCAAGCCTACCTAGTCCCACACATGCATTTATGATGGTCACGGATGCCACTTGATCCGGCACACACCCTCGTTCCTGCATCTCCTCAAACACCTCCATTGCTTTTTGAGGTAGACCTACTTGAATATAAGCAGAAATCATTGCTGTCCAAGAAACATTGTCCGGCTCCACCGCCCCATCAAAGATTCTCCGAGCATCAATCAAATAACCACATTTTGCATACATATCAATAAGAGAACCTTCAGTGAAAGAATCAAACTCAAACCCTGTTTTCACCACACTACAATGCACTTGTTTTCCAATCTCAACCTCCACTAGCCTAGCACAAGCAGACAAAACAATAGCATAACTAAACTGATTCGGCCACACTCCAGAATTCCACATCGACCCAAAAGCTTCTACAACATTCTCCAACAACCCATTTCGCGAATACATCAATATAATTGAATTCCAAGCAATACTATCCTTGTTCTCAAGCCAGAAAAATGCTTTCTCAGCCGAAACCATGTCTCCACATTTGGCGTATAAATCCACAATGGAATTCCCCAAATGTCCTTGTGAAGCAAACCCAAGTTTCAGGCTCTGCAAATGGATGGTTTTGCAAGCTTTCACAGCACGTGCAGCTCTCTGGGGCATTTCGTCGAACACCCGGCGGGACTGAAGGTTCTTGCATTCCTGTAGACATATTTTCAGGAGATTGTTGTATAGGAGAGTAATTGGAGCTGATTGAGGTTCTGGGTCTTCGTTTCTGGACTGTTTCGCCGGCGCGGTTGCCGAGAATTTGCGACGGCGATGGAGAAGTAGAGAATGTTGTCTGAGAGAGGAAACTATGTGACGCATCGACAGAAATTCGATTGGGTCGTTTTGGCGGGTTGAGTTGATAGGGGTATAAAGAAATGTTTACTGCGCATAATTTGATGTAAATACATAGTATAGAGAAATTAATCAAAAGATTGATTTTCATCTCTTTAAATCATAACATAAGTGATTATTTACTAATGATTAAGAATTATTCATTTTTTCTTGTTAAATATAAATGGTTATTCATTTTTTTTCTTGCTAAACATAAATGGTTTCAACCCATAGTTCATAAAATGCTTTTTATAAATATTGTAAATTGAAGTAAAGTATTATAGTCAATTTATTTGAATCACCTACGTCATTTTGAAAAAATATGTTACTCTCGAATAAGTAAGTTATCTAATTTTTCTGAAAGAATTATTTCTATCAAAAAGTTAACTAGAATAATGCAAAAAGATGAATTACTCTATTATTATTTGAAGAAATGGCACAACTTTTCGTTAACTATTATTTTTTTCAAGTGTTCTTTAAATATTTTTAACAAAAATATAGTTGCAATATGTTAATTTATTTCAAAAGATATCTAAAAAAAAAAACAACCGTGCTGAATTAAAACAGAATATTATTATATATGATCCTCATGCTCTGAGCTTCTAATTCTTTGTTTTTTCTTTATAAACAAAGAGTTTTTGCACCTTACTTATTAAGTAAATGTAGCTTAGGAATAATTTGATTTTCTTTAGTATTTTCCAATGTATCAATGGATTTATTTATTTTTTAGGGAAGAACGATAGGGGGACCAACATATCCATCTTCTATTTAGATTTGGAAAGAAACGAAAAAGATAGGCTCTTTATTCTTTTATAGATTTTTTTTCTTAAAAGTTATGGTAATCTGAAATGGTGGTGGTTTTTTTGGTGATTTTATTCAAGTTTTCGGAATGTTCGATTTATAGAGAAATAAAAGAATAGTAAGTGATTTTATTGTTACAAAAAAAAAATGTTTTGTAGATAAAGAGTGACGTTTTGAGAATAAACTCGCTTTTTTTATTTCATTCAAAGAAATTTAATTTAAGATAAAGAGAATTCTTGACATATGTTCCTCCTATCTCTGTCACACTGTCAATCTAGGAAATCTTCAGCTACTTCAAAGCCAATTATCAATGCAATGATTTAGCTTCTTCCTGTTTATATAGGAAGTCCCTAATATTTCATTCTCACTCAAGTAACTATACCTATAACCAACTTTAAAGTGCTCATTGGAGGATTTCTCCTAGTCGTCGATGGAGGGACGTGTGTTGTTTGGGAGCCTCCGGCCACGTATAAATGAACTAAACAGATGCAAAGCTCTTGCAGGTTGTGCATATGGTACCATATGTGCAGCACCTCTAACAGTGGCAAAGGTCAACAAGTTGCCATACTCTGTTTGCCAGCCTCCCACCTGTTTAAGAGACGAACAAATGGTTATACTTAAAGGTTCTCATCAACCGTTGTTGGAACTTGGAAGGAAGTGTTTGATATCAGAGGAGAGCGTTACCTGTCCTTTGTGAAACCAAGCTCCATAAGGGACTGTAATCTTGAACCCCATGTCATGAGCTAGCTCGCGTACAAGGGTCCTGGATCCAAGCAATGGCACAACAGAATCTTGGTCTCCGCTGCAGGTGCAGATAATTCAGAATCAATCACTATTGACTTAGGTACTAGGAGAAATGGAACAAGATTATGGATTTTTGTCTAACATGGAATCTTTACCTGAAAATCCAAACAGGGATATGGTTTTCGATTATTCTCTTAAGCAATGGAAGAATATTGATGTTTCCATCTGTGTCACTGTACTTCAGAATACTGCAATAGAAGTAATAATCCATTAGTTATAATCTACAAATACATTACAATGGTTCATTAAATTTATGGGCTTTGACATAGTAGGTTTAGAAGTCGAAGGCTCTAAATTGCTAGTGAAATGGTTAACATCAAAGATGTAATCTGTTATTGTGTGTCTGTTTATGGTTCAATATTGTGGACTTGATATTTTGCAGACTTACTTGCTGCACATCGACCAGGTATAAGGCAAGTTCGTCCTATTTGCATGAAGGGCTTTCTGAACCTCCGGAAGGTTAAAATAGAAGCGCCTTTCATAGGTCATGCATACATCAACACCTACACTAATTTTAGTAGCCTGCAAAGGAAAAAGCACTATTAAGTTCTAGTAGAAACACAGATATAAAGAAGTTGAGTGAATGAAGGGAACCAGATACCATTTTCTTTAATCGCAGCTCTTGTTCCACTATAGACGGATAGCACACATCAAGGATTACATCATAGTTATTTATATATTCACTAACAATGGTATTTGCTTCAGATATGGCATTATTGCATGCTTGTGAAACATTGTGTGGACTGCCAAATGTATAATCGTCAAAGTCACACTGATTCATAATTGTTAGGCCTACTTCATCAGAAATCATTCCATGAGACCAAAAGTATTCATAGGTTGCAGGAACATCACGATCAAGTCTCAGAAGCGGATTCCCAATCTGACAAAGAAAATGAAAATGTTTAACGAGCATACACACAGAAAAATTGCTTCAGATAAGTATGAAGATAAAGAAATTAATAAAGATGTGCATAAGAGGGGTAAAAAGTTTGCTTACTGCAACTCCTTTAATGTTGAACTTGTATTCTTTTGAGTGTTCATTGTGGTCTAGAAGAGCAGCAGCTAACTGTGGAATGTAATGCCCTGAACAAGAAAAGGTAGTCAGCCCAGGGGATTTTACCAGCAAGAAGAGAAATAGTAGAACAGAATCACGAATTTCATTTCATGACTGGCAAACTGTAGATCACCACCCTGCTAAGAACAGGCCTAGGACTAAATCCCCTTTCCCGACAAGTCTAAGCGTCAAAGGACTCCTTATAAACCACTAGGCAGAGGGACCAGTTGAAGAAGGACAAGCTAAATGAAAATAATAATAAAATGGTCACCTAAATCCAGAAACAGGATTTTGATTTTTCATAGTATCGCTACAGTTCTCTTCAAGCTTAAACAGCAATTACCAAACCATAATAGTGTAAATTCAGAATAGAAGATAAATTTGATTTTTAAAAGGTCTAAACAAGTTTTGAGTCTATAGGACTCTCCACTATACAGAGGAGAGCGTGGGACAATTTCTTGGTTCTCCCTTACCAATTTTTAGAACAAAAATTAAAGAAAAGAAGATCAATAAGAAAAGTACAGTCAAGATAATAGGTTCAAAGTTCTAAGTCACCATAATTTTCTATTTGAAAAAAATCGTTGTTTAAGCATTTTTTTCTTGAATTGTTTTGAACATTCTCATAACATTATTGCACATCTTAAATGTCTCTGACCTGCATAACTCTCTCCTGTGAGATATAGTTCCCTTGATTTGAATGCCGGGAATTTCTTCACCCATTCCATCATGAACATATGCATATCCATTGCTGCCAGTAGAAACAAGGAAAAACAGCAGCCATTAGGTAGGATTAAATTCTTAAATCTGATATTCAAATACCAGCTAATGCTTGATCACAGCATCTTTGCATCTTTGTTTTACCAGTTTTTGCATCACCAGTGGTATAGTCTGAACTTGTATTTGAGTACGACCATCCTACTCCAGCTGGAGATTCAACAAAGAGGAGATTTGATGCTACAGTAGACAAAGACATGAAGTGGTAAGTTCATTCTCATTACTCGATATTGTTCTAAATATGTTATAATTAGGTACTCCCTACCCTACTTAGCATACCTTTATTCCATGATTTTGAATTTCTTCGAAGACCTCTACCATCACCTGTGGGAAAGAATGGTCCCAACTCTGTAAAAGCACCTCCACCAATTGATGAGCAACCTGGCCCTGAAACACAAACATGAGACATTTTAGTGTTCTTGACTCTTGCCTTGACATAATTCACCAAAATTCACAGCATAAGAAAAGTACATGAAAAAGTACATTTCTGCAATTTATATATCACTAGTTTAATATCAGGCTTACTATTCTTGACGTTATAGTGTTCTTGATTCTGCTACTGTTCTTTTCCACCATTATTTTCTATATGCTTCAGTTGAGCCGACGGTCTATCGGAGGGAGAAGGCTGTATACACATCACCCTTCTATACCCCACTTGTGAAATTACACTAGTATGTAATTGTTTAGTTTAATGGCAGCAGCACTCATTAAAGATGTAAACTTTCACTCAATTATAAGTTCACTTAAATTTTTGAAGCTCTAGATTGGTTCAATTCAACAACAGTTTTAAGCTCCAACTCACTAGATCAAATTTAATCTCTTGTGAGCTAGTGACACTTGGTCCAAGCAAGCTGTTTCCTTTTCTCCAAACATCAAAAGAATACATAAAGCATAAAAAAAAAAAAACAGCACACAACAAACAAACAAAAAAACAAAAGCTCAAACCCCAAGCAAATAGTACTACCAAAAAAAACTACATGAAAGTACACCTAAAATTCCTAGTCACATTTATTTAAAATGGATCAACAAAAGTTAAAAAGTTCAAAAAACACACCTCCATTGAGCCAAAGAGCTAGTGGTTTCTCATCAGGTTTCACCTCAGCTTCAACAAAGTAGTAAAACAAACTCCTCCCAGCTTTCACATCCACTTCTACATACCCTGCATATTGCCTAAACCCAACCTTAGGTTGTCCAGGCAATGCCTTCACTAAATCCTCCTCTGGATACCCTTTTCCTCCAATTACCAAACCCAAAATGACCAATCCACAAAACCACCACACACCCATCTCACTAAACCTCATAAAGATTCAATCTTTACCCTCTTTTTCTCTAAAACACTTCAAATTAAGCTCATTCACATGCTCTCTTACTAAAAAAATCAAATCTTTATAACAGGAAAAGGAAAAGGGGGTAAGAAAGGCACGTGAATTCCGGATACTTTTTAAACAGAAAGCAATATTTGCTATATATAGATAACAGTAACAAGAAAACTAAATAGGTAAGAAGTAGGATGGAATGAGAGTTTGCAGGTTTTTGGTTCTTGGGGTTGGTGAGTAGTGCGGTGGTGTTATGATGAGGTTAAAAAGCCTGTGGCAGCATTGCTGGCATTTTCTTTTCTTTATAGAGAGAAGAAGAAGAAGAAGAAATAGACGTTATGAAGTTGCAGACTTGCAGACCAGTGGG